CAAAGAGCATTACCAGTGCTGGATATGGGCTCTTCGGTTGCTACTACTGAAACTCCTAATTTGTCATATATGGAAGCCATCAACTATTGAAATTAATCACCACTTGTATGGTTTACCAATAGCACAATTTTAAGCTCTAGGAAACTCGACGTGGATTATGAACCGAACTTCAACAGTCAGTTGTTTGTGGAGCTGCGTAGAGATTTAGGTGTAGTAAAGAAGCAAATTTCACAGTATCATCCTCAACCTGATGACTTGGTTAAAGAGATTGTATATAACTATCAAGTATATGCTTGTAAAATTTGTGAAATCTGTCTAAACTAACTGTGATGAGAACCTTCCATATATCATGGTGGTGTATTGAGCAACAGAGAAAAGTCAACTGGCTGTTCACTAAACATACTAATGTCTTAACAAGTCCTTGAATTCATTTGGATGCCCAAGAGGTCCACTAACCTATCTTCACTATTTTCAGTCTCTCGTTAAATAAATATACGACCTGAAGGTATGGTACAAGGCCTTTTATACGAATTCATTCATTTACAGGGTTTCCATAGTAAATTATTAAGGAAAACTTGGTTATCATGGGGAAAACATGTAATGTGATCTGGAGGCATTCAATATAATTTCCGTAATCCAAAATATAATTTGAATGATCCACTCGTTTTGTGCAGACAGCATGCTTGCTAGGATTTGGTGACAAACATAAAGATGATTCCTTCAGATGCTGCACACCATGAATTTCACCCATACACAAGAAATTAGATATGAACAAACTTCTCTTCCACACACAAAAGTGGTGTTAACCCATTCTTCTAATGTGAACGACAAATTTGATTAATGCTTGTACCTGTAATCAAAAAAGGGTTTATATGACAGATTACTTCTGAGTCACCATGTGTTTGAAATATTAAGTTGATGAATATATATATGTACAAAGAACGCAGTTTTCGGGCATTGAATAAACAACTATTTAACTATAGTAATGAACCATACAAAGGTGAAACAGTTGTAATAACTTATTTAACAAAATTATAAAAATGAGCTGAAACCTGAATACTTTAATGTAGAACGGGATTTTCTAGTGGTTTGAATCTAAATCATCGCGAGTAATCTGGTTTTATGTTGCTTTAAGTAAAGCTGCTGATATAGCTTCTGTAACAAAGAAAAATAACATAATGAACTCTATTGTTTTTCAGAGTTAGGACTGAATGTTTCCAATTCGTTGAAATACAAATATTAGTAAATTGATAGCTTTTATGAACTTGTTATGTCAGATTAAAGGGAGAAAAATGTGTATTCCTAATGACTTTTTTAATGCTGTAGTGATAAGTTACATTTTTCATATATTTAAAAATTCACGAGTTAACAAATTGTTAATAATATTTCCAGTATATCTGTGTAAGTGACAGTTCCAATATGTTTGGTAAGTATGGCTTGAAGCACATGTGCACTGAGTCCTACTAAGCCTCTTACATAGGAAAAAAATACTGTCTCTACCCCACTCTACTACACCCATGCAATGCGTTGCAAATTAGGTGATGCTCACTTGTATGTGAGCCTGTATACATAATGGTTCGTAGAAGTAGCTGTCACTAAATGATACCTGTCAGAGTCTGGCAAGTAGGAAAGGTAGTCTTTTCTTATGAAGTCTGACTTGACAAGTACTAAGGAGACATTTATTTAGACACAAGGTATGTACGAGTACCACTGCAGGAAAATGACAGCTGTTATATATTATTGTTTAATATCATATTCTAAAATGTTTCTTTTGACACTTAACCTCATGTTTCTGACTGAAATTCTTAGTAACTGGAAGCCAAGTTTAAACCTAGCTTTCGCAATAAAAAGCCGTATATCATGCCTTCTAGTCATCTACTTCTTGAACACAAGGCTGAAAATGACCTAAAAAGTCTAGAAATGTGTATGAGCTGAGTGAAGATAAGTTATAGGGCTTCTTAGATATCCCAAAATATCTGATAATATACCACCAATGCCCACACATGGTAATGGACATAGCACTCTTAAAAACAAATGCACCATCATAGCCAACCAACACTGTCACCCTCATTCTAAAGAAGCAAAGAGATCATAAGTAGTTATCAAGAAGCAAAAGGTATTAGACCCAATTCCTGCAGTGGAATCGATGCCTTCAGAAGCAGAAGCAACGAAGACTATGACACTCTTTGAAGCTCTTGTGATCACTAGCAAACAATAGTTCTTGTGCCTTATGTTATGTTTTGTGATGCCACAAAAATTTCGTGACAAGGATCAATTCTTCTAGCACTCCAGTCAAAACCATAAGATCATGAAGGGCAAAGAGAAAACTTGGAGGTTGAAGAGATTTGTGACATTAAAAGGGGATGAAATGTGGGGCATTCAACACTTCCAGTCAACCAGTTGATCCACCGCAATACCAGTTACTGTTCCAAATTCAATACAAATATTGATGAATTTCATGAATACCATTCAACTAATATTAAATTGTGAGGTTTGGGTAGCTATGTATACAGAGGCCTGTGCCCTAGTCCACTTGGAAGAGAATCACAGATCCAATTACCATTATGACTAATGAAGCACATGTGCTAAAGGAACTCTAAAGAAAATGGAACAGATATTCCAGCAGGCCAAAACACTTCTGAAGGCGGTGGGTTATAAGTCCTCAGAAGCCATCAAAGGGTTGCTCTTCTTCATGTATGTATAATATATAGATATTTTTTATGTTTCTGACTAAATAAAAGTCAGATTGACACAACAACTTTAATCCTACCTTTTACTATAAAATACCTTATATTAGGCTTTCTGGTCACCTGATTATCTAATTGAAACTGAAAGTGACCTAGAAGCAAGGAGACTATTACGATCTCAGTGAAGACAAATTAGCAGACTTCCGGGTATTTCAAAATCTTTGACAATACCTACACAGAAAGATTTTCTGATCTTGTGTAAAAATTGACAAGTACATGAAAGGGTTTAAGTAAAATTTGGCATGCTATTCCATCGCTATTGTAGTCATGTGACTCACTGATTTGCATATTCAAAATCATTTTAATTTAATATACTCAACCCTTTGCGCATATAACAGTTTTTAATTGTTGTAATTATAACCATATATTGTCGTTATTTGGCGTTCGTACGTAGTGTTATGCCACCAAAAATTGATTGCTTTTGGTAATGACATTTACCAACCTTTTACAATGTGAAATATTCATAAACTCAGATCAAAAAGATGTGTTTATATATATCAATGATTCAGAATTTTCAAGATAGCGATATATCTTGTACATAATGGCATTGTAACACAAAGGAATATAATGAACTTGGAGTACCACAAGCATACAGAAAGAGACACGTAACAAGTCATACTCCAGCTGTGGTGAGCAAGGTGTGGCATCGTGTAATACGTAGTTTCGTATAGTCCGGACACCGGGTGAGCATGTTTTGATGTGACGAGGATTCGAACCCGCGACCTACAGACTGCGAGTCGAGTGCCCTAACCACCTGGCCATGGCGGGCCTTGTGATAGGTGAGAACCCCCGAACCCAAAAACCGTCCACGTATCCATAATCAAGAAGAAGTTCAATCTGGTAAACCAACACAAGCCATGTGTGCATAAAGTGTTTCCACGATATCCTTTTAACTGTCTCATATCTCCAGTAGCTAGAAGATAAAATGGACATTCATGCTATTCGATACGAAGACATATAAATCAATTGTGCGTTCCTAACATTACCATATGGACGAAACACCAAAATAAACTCTATTATATTTCTTATATGATATTTAAACCGACATTTTAGTATTTGACATGTTTAGCAGATAACGTGCTAGCTCATTGTTATTAGTTTCTAAGCTGATATCATACACTGACAAGGTTTACAATTACCAGTGATATTGTATATACCCCGACTTTCACCATCAGTTTAAATTAACTGTTATTTTTACAACTAATAAATAAACCTCTTTTTAGGAATTGAAATTCTTAACCTGGACAATATCTTATGCGACACACTGGCTAAAATACCAGGCCAAAGAAACCTAGAGTTCAGATATAGCCATCTCTTATTCTGAACTACTCATCAGAGAGAGGGAAACACTCGCCATCACAATAGCTTTAAACTGACTATTGGAATTGGGTGTTACTGTTATAAAGCACCAACATCTAAAAGTGTACAGCGTGTTTAGCAGCATCACGGCTCGAATCCTAGACCTTTTGATCAGGTACCTCATCACGCTAACCAGTGGGCCATGGCCTAACTTATTATTAACGTCATTGTAATATATTTAAATATAATTGTAATTTAAGACTTATAATGCAAGTTCACAAGTTAATAGATAAAACACTTTTAACTATCAACTATGACAAGTTGTTTTAAACGTAGTTCGAAACCTTTCCTTTTCTGCATGTCGGAGTCCTGTCAAACATTTGGCTAATTAAATTTAAACTAAAAAAAAACTGACGAAAACATTAGAAGCAACTTTTAAGCTCAGCTTATACTTTACTTCTAATGACATGATTTACTGCTTATTCAACTCTTGTTAATACTCTATTTACTATTGTTTGTTCTTCTTCCCCTCTTTTATGAAATATTCTATTTAATCTCATTAGTTCACAAAATCATGTTAATAATGTAATTACGTAAATTCTGCGAGGTAATGCACCCCCCTACATTAAAAAAAAACAAACTCTCATATAGTGGTATAAGACAGAAACAGTATTTATAAAGTATGTTGGCGTTACGAATTTGGAGATTAGGGTTTTATTAAGAACTTTTCGATTGAAGCATGCTTTAGATTTGCCGGAAAATTTATCTCCTATTGTGATCATTTCCTGCTTTAAGAACCACCACTCACAATAACAATGTTGTTATAATTACAATTAGTTTTATTACCCATAAACTACAGTAAATAATAGGTTTCATTTTATTTGTTTTACTGGTTCTGGTGATCTGTACAATATATATATTTTAATACACAATTAAAATGTTCCCGATCTTTTTCACATCATTTAATCTTTTCCAACAACAGAAAGGCACCTTAAAAAAAAAACAATAATAACACAATTACAACAAGGGAACAAATTTCAAAATTATTTTGCTAGTGATTTACGTTTTGATTCTGGTAATTCTGTTGTTACAAGTTGCTGGGGAGGAAAAGCCACTTTGTTGTCTTTTGGTTTGTAATAGATTCATATAATGCTAAGATCTATAAGGGGAGTTATTATCTGCACATTCAATGTTCTACAGTAATTAGAAACTAAAGCTTTATTTGAATTCAAGTAGTTCGCTATTTGATCTTCTCTAGGTTGCAAGTTAAGAGTTAAGTTTTATTGATAATCACTATGTTGGAGCTTCTACGGACTTAAGTACTTATAACGCTATATTTAATTAAAAGAACTGCATATTCACAAAAGTAACGTGATGTCACATACTCTGTGCTACATCCGTCCGTGTGCTTTCAAGTTATCGATCTATTTTCGTTAAAAGAAACATGGTAAGTACATAAAAATAATACTTTCTCTCTCTCTCTAGTAAAACTGTTTGTGTATGCATTATATACAATAACATCATTAACAGTTTTGATCTACTTTTTCTCCACATCAATGAAAAATTAACCGTTTCATATATTAACAAAAATATTTGATTGAAGTCACTGGCGTGATTAATTAACTCCCGAAAATTTAGTCTGTCCTATAGGAAAGATTCATCACTTAGTTGCATGCTGTCACCTTCCGAGTCCAAAGTAAAATCCAAGCTTTCATTCGTTAAACCACGTAGGGAGTGTCCGATCTCTGCAAGCTCTACTGAGGCAAGAGAACCTGCTTCAGAAGAACCGTCGGGCGAAAGTTCGTCGTTGCCCGTCTTGCGGAGAACTTCTGCTAGAGCAGAGATATAGTTAATAGCCAGCCGTAACGTAGTAATTTTAGTTAGTTTTGAGTTTTCGGTTTTATTTTCGACAGGAAAGGCAGGTACGACGTTACGCAACTTTTCAAAGGCCTCGTTAATTTCTTTCATTCTAGATCGTTCGCGCTCATTGGCAGTTTTCCTGCGGTATTTACTCAGTGGAGGAGGTTTCTGTTTCGGAACACGCTTCTTTTTCGTCTGTCGTCTAATCTCCGTTTCAATACGATTTCGAATCGACCTTGGTCGGAGGTTATATTCCAAACTTGGTAATTCGACACTTGCATAGCTGGAACTGTCACCAGAAACCACGCCACCTGACGACGAGCAATATTTTATATTTTCAACCTCACTTTCATTGTTTTTAGTCGGATGACATTTCATTGTAGTTGGTGCACGTCTGTCGTCGGTTGTATCTTTTATTGGTGAAGAGCTGAATGCAATAACGTTGTTTCCTGTTGTGCTTACAGCATCTATGTGATTCTCAACTATAGATGGAGCTGTTGCAGATGGAAACTGGTGATCTTGGACAGGTATCATTGAAACAGTATCCGCGAGAGGGTCTCCCTTGACTATTGTTGTCTGGAAAGAACTGCTTCTTCGATCTTGTTCGTGTTGATCCTGTTCAGTGAAGGATCGCTGGGTAAACTCTTCCGTAGACGGGCATAGTCCCAAGAAAGAATCAATGGATTCGAAGTCAAAATCTATCATATGAAGAGCCATATTTTGTTAACAATACTTGAGCTACCAAGAAATGAAACTAAAAGAAACAGAATATTGCATTTGTATACTACTCAGAACAAATTACTGTCTGAAAACCACTGTGTTGAATTTCTAGCTACTCTAATGAGGGCAGTCAAAATGTTTACAATTTATTTTTGAACGAGTTACTGGTTTACTGGCCCTCTAGAAATCGCTCACCTAAAAGTGAAATAATCTCTTTACAAACTACTTGCACAACATAGTTTCCGACAGTAACAAAGAAGAGTGTGATACAGTCTCTTCTCAACTTGATGGACCTCCGGGCAGCAGATGGTGAAGGAGGTTAGTAACGCAGCAAACTACTTTTTTTCTTACTGAAGAATTCGGCGAGGATTGCTTGCCTGAAGCTGAAGTAACTTCCCTCCTATAGATATGTGATCTCCACTATACCAGGGCGTATCTCTGTTGGAGAATAATTCAAAGTGTTATCAATATACCGTTGTTGACGAGTGTTTTCAGTGCATCATTTTTACTCAACATATTCATGAAATAAATGATAACCAAAGAGTGGTTAAATGTAAATTCTGAGAGGGTCCCTAATTGGTACTATAGACTTGACTAAGACTGATTATCTAGACAGGAAAATGTGTCCCACTTGTGTAATCGTTCTACGATCATTGAACAAAGACCTACAGTTCCTGATATTTTCTAATTAACAATCTCAAGAAGAATTAAATTATATTCACCGATAGAAATAAACAATTCTAAAGCTTTAATGGTAAAAAAAGGCTAATTTTATGGTAATTAAGAAATCACACAACAAATATTAACACAAAGGTAAATAATATTTCGGAAACATTGAACCAACTGATAAAAAATATTACATAAAACAGATGACAATGGTTATCATACTTGTATGTAATGCAGCAATAAATTATGCATTAAACACTCACGTGTAGCTCAACTTGTTTCCTTGTTATTACGATCAAATAATGAAAATCAAACCGATCGACTCCCTATTCCAATTTTACATTTCCTGATAATGCTTCCAAACTCATTGTTATAACCAAAACGTGAATGACTAAAATGAAACTGAATGGTTAAAATATATAGCTCTAATAAAAAGAAACACCTCACTAAATCTGTTGAACTTTCTAGCATTTACATATTTCACCATAAACTCTATTAAAACGTATACAAAATTAATAAATAAGCTGAGTTAACTTACAGAAGCAAATCACACAGAACATTTGAAATCCCCATTATTTAATAGAACTCCATATGAATTATTTTAATCAGTATGCTTTTTTTTTTAAAGCCCCAGTGTCTTAGCGGTAAGTCTAAAGGCTTATAATGCTAAAATGTCGGGTTTGGATACCCATGGTGGACAGAGCACTGACAGCCCATTGCGTAGCTTTGCGCTTAACAACAAACAATATTTTTAGCCGCGGCATAGCGGCTCATAGAACGGTTTTGAGTTTGTTTGTTTGTTTTTTATCAAGTACAAACTTTTAGCTCATAGCTTCGTCATTTCTTGACGGATTTGAGATCTAATTACAGTTTTGGACTAAAGAGATCAAACCCTTTCTATTGATATATTTGACCACGCCCAAGGTATCATAGATTAATTTACTCTAATCCTACCTAAAAGAATTTCGGTACTTTTCCATTATACACCCGCAAATGTTAATAATTTTCCCTTATACTACCGCAATTTTAATACGTTTTTACAATATATAAATATATATATATACATGCATTTTATTCATACAATAAATGTCCATAATAAATCTCTAAAAATATATTAATAAGCATTGTATTCATATAGTAAAAATTTACCATTTGCGGGGGTATAACGGAAAAGTACCACAATTTGAAGTGCCGCGGCTATTGAGAATTCCCTCTTGTTTTAAAAATCCAACACTCTTATATATTTTACTTTCGTAGATAGGTAGATCAAACTAATGTATGGAGTATAACTTTCCCCAAAAGTGAACCAAATTTTACATATTTGGTATTGAATACAGTACACAGAAAAATGTTCTTGTTATAGTAAATGAATGTCGATGGTTAAACAAGAAGTGTAAATGCAGAAGCGACTCCTCGTGGGTCTGTCTAACATTACAAGCTATTTCAAGAATAATTATCTTACATTAAAATCGCGAATAAAAGTTGTGTATTTTCAATTCACTTTAAAAATAAATAAATTCATTTGCAAGTTTTATTTTGGGCGCATAGAAATGTGCATAATTTTAGTTTTAACAAGGAAAAAGTGCAAAACATCATTTTATATGTCACTGATTTAAAGCTATCCTTTCATTGTTTTATTCAAAATTTACACTGTATTCATTTTCACAACCGTGCATAAAATAAAATTTATCTTCGCGAATCTCTTGAGTAATAATAGTTTTCGCAGCGAATCCCTTTTAAGCAGTAATAAATTTTGTAAAATGTAATAACTTTTGAACGTGTTGGATTTATTGAAAACAAAACATTTCTGTAACACATAGTATGCAACACGTTCACAATGAAATCTGAATCTATAAAACGCAAACAGTTCCTATTTCCTTCCGTAAACATTTTAATAAATTAGAAGGTAATTAAAAACTGGCAAGAACTGAAGAATCAGGAAAGTGAAAAAAGACGCCAATCCCAAATTGTTCTCGCAAATTCCTCAAAATTATCTCGCGAACCCCCAGAGGTTCACGAGCCACAGGTTGGGAAACGCTGGATTAAATAAAAGAGACACTGTCTACCCTAACCTAAGTACAACCACATATCGATATCATACATTCATCTTCCTAATACTTCATACTAGTTTCAGCCATACAGACTTCTACTACTTCACCAGCTATTAGCGTTAAATACACCTAACCTAAGTACAACCACATATCGATATCATACATTCATCTTCCTAATACTTCATACGAGTTTCAGCCATACAGACTTCTACTACTTCACCAACTATTAGCGTTAAATAAACCTAACCTAAGTACAACCACATATCGATATCATACATTCATCTTCCTAATACTTCATACTAGTTTCAGCCATACAGACTTCTACTACTTCACCAGCTATTAGCGTTAAATAAACCTAACCTAAGTACAACCACATATCGATATCATACATTCATCTTCCTAATACTTCATACGAGTTTCAGCCATACAGACTTCTACTACTTCACCAACTATTAGCGTTAAATAAACATTGCAGTAGTAAATTTTTTATGCTGCTTATATTTAAATTACTTTTCGTTAGAACTTTTGACTGTTACAGTCCAGTTCGGGTGATCAGTTTTGGTGTTGAACAAAAGGTCTCCTCCGCCGTAACTTAAGACACACAAAATATTTATCTAAAATGATTAATTTAAAATAACTATGGCTTGAAATCTGTAGTGGGCACATTAAAACGAATGTGTTATAAAACATCCACAACCCAACGTGATTTATATCTCGGATATTTATTTAGACGTATTGCAGCTGGTTTCCAATGCTTTGCCAGCTTTCAGCGTTCCAACACAGTAACAAGTAAAATCCAACTAACAATACTCAAATAACCTTCCTCTTTCAATTAAAGTCGAGCACAGTCTAGTGGTTAGCCTGACCGGACTGTAAATCCGAAGGTCCATTTTTCGCATCCAGTTGCCTCAAAAATAAGGTCCACACTTTGGGATTGTGGGTGCGCTATAAGATCCTACCTTTTGATCAAATAAGAGTAGCCCAAGAGTTAGCGGTGGGTGCTGTTCAGTAGCTGACTACCCTCTTGTCTATCCGTTAAAAATTAGGAACGACTATATGTAGATAGCCCTTGTGCGACTTTGCTCAAAACCTCTAATCAAACAAACAGCCACTTTTGTTTGTTGTTTGTTTGCAGTTAAACATAAAACTACACAATGGGCTATCTGTCTGCCAACTGCGGGTATCGAAACCCGGTTTCTAGCGTTCTAAATCCGTAGACATACCGTTGTGCCACTGGGGGGGGGGACAAAATACACTCAGTCGCAATGCTTAAATATTTACCTAAAAAACAATACTGATCAAATGTTTAATTTATTTTAGCGACTATACGATAGTCTTTTCTTTTTCTACATACCAAAATGCTTTTCCTGGTCTATTCCAAGATGGATAAGCTTCTGGTTTCATAAAATTGGTTAATAACTGTCATCTGTCCTCAATTATCACAGTATCTCCAACGCTTACTCTTTTGCACTTTTCTAAAAAATGAGATTAGGTTGTTAAATATACCTATTTTATTTCACTTTTAGGTTTATTAATGACTTTCTAAACTATTGGTTCGGAACTGTAAAATAGATCATAGCCTAACGTTTCTGCGGGCGAGAAAGAGTTCCGGGATAAATTTAATAAAGATCTAATGTCTGGTCATTATTATTACCACTACAGTGTTGATCTCGAATAATGCTACTGTTCACTTGTTCTCGTTCGTTATGGCCATTTCTCTATTACTGTATTTATATCTTGGAGACATCAATTACCAATCTCTAAAGGGGGTTGACTTGTTGGAGACCAGACTTAACTCTGCCTCCTGGCGGTGAATTCTATTGAACGTAATAGAATAATGTAAAGTGGATGACTGTCTTAAGAGTGCGTGTCTCTCTTGTAATGTTATAAAAAGTTAGAGCTCTACCTAACGTTTCTGTTCTTCCTAGTCAGATTGTGTGTGTAGCCTGGTTATTGAGGAGTAAAGTGCTAGGCCTAAGGTGCGGGGTGTTATTACTTACAAAACAACTTGTAAATGATCTTCGATACTTCGGTGCCAACATCACGCACACCACAAACATTTATTAAGAACAAATATAGGTTATAGCTCAGGCGGCGGCTTAGATTTATGTCAAATCAACTTTTTATGGATTTCAGCGCTGCCAATCAGTTTTAACGAGCACCCTATATCCCTCCAGGGGGACCGAAGTTGATAACAGTGAGCTAGTGATTTTTTATTTTCTTTTGTAATTTGATTTCCTGCATCAGTGAAACTAGTCATTAAAATAAAAATATTTCAGTATTACCACATTTTCTAGAGTAGACACGTTAAAATGGTATTTCATAGAAGCTGAATAGTTTTCTATAACAAATAAGTCAGACCTAAAAATATTCGTAGGCCTAATGTCATGGCGATTAATAATATATTATACAAAGTATGTCTACTCGTGGCAGTAGCTCTGGGTTATTGCATAATCTTTTTTTTTTCTTTAACTTACGTCTCACTTTGCACGGCTGTCACATAATATTTAATTATTTTAGATGATAATTTTCAATATAACATGATATAATCATTAAAAAGTGTTACCTTTATCAAAGAATACAACATTAATACGTAACACATAGCTTAACGGTATATTACTATAATAAAAAAACACCTATTTAACAGATAATAAAGATTACAAATAGACTTCTTTGTTTTGCTGACGAAATTACTAATTAACTTTCACAACAAAAGTATTT